TCGAGAAGGAAGAAGAACTAGGTGCAAGACTGGCAGAAGAAAGCTCAGATGTAAGTTACAGAAGAGACGACGCAAATGCAAACGGAAAATAAAGAGGCGTACTTGCAAACGAAGAAAAAGAAGGATGCGCAGACGAAGTTGTTCAAGGAAGAGGAAGCGGGTGTGCTGAAGGAAAAGAACTGCTTTTCCTTCTGCACACCCGCTTCCTCTTCCTTGAACAACTTCGTCTGCGCATCCTTCCTTTTCTTCGCCCTAATCAGTCTCAGACATCGGTCGTATCGCAAGAAGCTTCTGAAGCTAATAGAGAGTCTGTAACAATGCTGGAATGACGTCACACTCTCAAAATTTTACATGTGATTATACTTTTATAGATTTTTATATTATACAAAACCTTTTTTATCTATGCTGTTTGATTCAAAAAGAAACTGTTGGGAATGTAATTTAGTGGCACAGATACATACATTTCTCTGAAAGCATAAAAGCAAATGCCCAAATACCTTTTTGAACTAAAATACAGAACGATAGTAGAAACATCCGGCAACGCACGAGGTTCTTAGATTTCAACAAACAGTATTCCACAGTGAAGGTCAAGTGAAGCATCAATTCCTGTTTGTGTGTCCTTCCCGTTATTTTCATCGCTTCTCCAGAACACTCTAATACGTAAGCCCCGTTTTTGGGTGTCATTTTGTAACGGATGTTACAAATACCTCTTCTACTCCATCCTACCTCTGGCTAATCTTCGCATACCTTAATTAAATTACGGGTGGTTCTTGTTATGGAATTATGTATAATGTGCGCCCGATAGCTATCAGTTAGTAATTCTCTCCTGGCCTCTTAAGGAAAAAGGTAAAGGGATAAATAATAAGTCAATAATCTTTATTAAATTATGAAACGGTTCTTATTTTCTTTAAGGTATGTTCTTGCTGCAATAGAATAACATAATTAGTAAATGGGGTTTGAAGCGTAACAATCCTGTACAGCAAATAGTTAAGAAACATTGATTCGCAAAACATACTTCGCATCGATTGTTCCTAAATACCTTTATCGTTTGTGCACCACCAGTTCTAGACGAGTTCGGGTCACGGCTTTCACTCACAAGGAGAGTTATCTTGCATCCAGCTGTACTATGCACGGACCGACTATAGCCCTCCCGCCGTTGTTAGGAACGCCAGGGAAGGACCCCACTACCAGCAAACGCCCCATTCGCCGCAACGCCGGACGCCTCGACGAATTGTTAATAAGCACCACCAAGGGCCAGCAAAAACCACTTGTGCCTGGGCAAGCCTACCTTCCCTACATAAGCAACTGAGGCTGGTCGCTTTGGCTCAAGACGTCGCCACCGCATGTCATCACGTCCCGGCTCTGACCTAACTCCGTTCGTCAGGATCGGCGCTATCCGCACCTACCTACGCCGCTTCTGGCATCCTGGTACGCCGTGGATATGTTCAAGCTTCTTGTTTTCTTTCTTCGAAATGCTGCGAAAACCTTCGTCCGCAGCATGACGGTGGCTCGATCGATATGATTTTCGCTATTGGATTAATTTCAGTCTTCGGGATCCATTCAGAGGACTGATTGACTTAAAATTGCACCTCGCGCTTTGCGACAACGCGGCGCAGGTTCGCCCCATGTAACGCCGCTTAAAGCCTCCTGTCTCATTATTTGTCATTTAACTTTGGGTTGCGATAGACGTATTTAACTCGGATCTCTTTGTTCTTACCTTATTACAATGATCTGATTCATTTATCTCACCCTAAATATGCACACATAGTGCAGTATTTATTTATTTACTCTATTTGCATCTGAAATAGAATTGTATTTCTAAACCGCGATTTTTACTTTATATTTCCAGTTACCTTTTAGCTTCCTTAGAGCTCTTTTACACGGTGGTACTGTATGCGAAATACTGTATCTTTGTCATCAGAATTCCAGCCTTACGCAGTGAGGTACTTCGATTTTCAGTGCAGTGGCGGGCGGGTTTCTGTAAAGTCACACCACACCTGATAAAATTGACGTTGCAGAAGCCATTTTACTATACAATACATCAAAGGTGCGCTCCATTTTATGACTATTTTGTTTCTTCGGGCGGAGGTGACGAACAGCACTGACCGGTTGCTAATGAAAAGGTATCCTCCTGTAAAGAGTTCCATATGAACCAATAGCCCATCAGTTCCCTAAAGTCGTAAAATCTCCGGGCGACTGGACCTAGCGGGAAACCGAAATTTAGTCGCCGGTACTGTATGCGAGAAGTATGCGTGTGTGAACGGCTCCATAAGACGCAATGTTACAGATGTATCCGAGATACCAGTCTGCGGGTGACTGTATCAACGTGTCTTACGGTTAAATAAAAAACCGGGTTATACATAAATGAAATAATTGATTTCCTTACAATGCATAAACAAAAATTCACACACACAAGATTATAATTCCGTATCTATATAATTTAGATTGTGCATTTTTTCTACCCTATAAAATTCTCTGTACGTACGGAGGCTCGTTAGAGCTTTATTGGTGAGCCTGCGTAAATCTGGGTGGGATTTGGAGGAATGCGACAGATAAGGAGTCCAACGACGAACAAATCTACCCACGTTTCATTTTGTTTTCTCCAAACAACAGTTCACGTTATAAGGCAAATAGTAACAACAAATTTATGCAGTAGGAGGGAACCCTTTAAACGAATATACGGTTTTTTCAGATACCAAAAGTTGTTGTTGGGACATTACCACAACGCATATACGTAAATGCTACGCTGAAAAAATCGGTATGTATTTCCAAAAGGAGTTGAGTATCTAGTGATGAAGGATTATACTATGGTAACGTCTACGAACGCTAAAATAAAAATATGAACAAAGTTGCTTTTATATAAGGATACACTCCTCTATCTTCCCAATGGAAATAAAGGATCACAATCTTCATAGTCCATTTCAAAATAATGGATGAAACTAGCCTCCCATTCCTTAGCTTTACTATGTAAATGGTTATGCATTTCGACTAAAAGCACTTCAGACACACCACAATTCTGTTGAAAGCGACTACCGATAATGAATAACGAAAGGTGAGAACTGCCAACAAAAAATTCGAACGTCAATGTCAAATATTAAACAAAAACCTTTGGCATCGTTGATCGCAGCATATCCAGTTCTACAAAAGTTTACCTACCACAAGTCCATAGATCAACTTGTTCTGGGCACAAGTCTCTAATATTTTTCTCATTAAATATACCAAAAATTGGTGTTCTATTCTGTCAGTGACGTGCAAAGGAGTATTGAACAAAATGTGGCAGTACCTACCTCTGTTTGGCGTTATCATGTAGCTTATCACTACACGAACTGGGCTAGATTCCAAATAGTCTCTACCGATCTTTACAAACTCATACACAGCACAGGGTGTATTGAGTCAGCTGTCCCAAAAAAAAGACTGGTAAAAGCAGAGCTTCAGAAACTCCGAGCTGAAACGCCTAGCTTGTACAATAAATACAAGACGCAGGAGCAATGTGGGAAGAGATTGAGGTGATGCTTTCTAAAGGATCACGTCACCTTGTTGAGCAGACTAAGGCATATAGGCCCTTCACCCTCGGCTCATTCTTATTCGAAGGGATTGAAAAGGTTTTGGACTAATTCTTCAAAAGCGCGCGCTTTTTTTTATAAGCCAAGGGTTGTGAGAGAGACAGGAGTCTGACCAAGTGTCACTTTCGAATGTTTTTATAATTAACTGCACTGCTGATCACCATCAAACCTATAGCAATTAACAAGATATCGTCTGAAATGAACAATTAGAAGTCGGCACTGGAAAAATTTTTTATTATGGCAATTGATTTTATTTGACCCACGGCTAGCCCAGTAATAAAAATGTTTTTAAATCCCACACCTTACGGAGGTTTGGTCTCTTATCTCGTCTTACAATCTGAAATCCAATTTAATTTGATTGAACTCTGTACCGTACAAGGGGGCTTCGATAACAAAGAATTTGATTGTAAGTGGACTGTAATTATGAATTACTTCCAAGGCCTTGTTTATGCTGGGAATGAAAGAATATAGACACATAAATAAACGTGTTTATTATCAAAAATACAAAGTAAATGAATTTCTATTGAACATGGTTGACGTAGGCACGACGGCTACTAGAATATGGTAAAGTTACGAAGGGATAATGTAAACAAAGGAACTTACGTGTTGTTTCGAAGTCCATTAACAACGAAGGCGATGTTGCAATGGCGAAGATTGCTCATTCTACGAAGTTGTCGAATTTGTCGATTTTGTTACAACGAAATCTTCATATTGATGTGCGGTGCTTTGACGTTCTGCTTGTTAATAACGATGTTGCGAACTGCACGGCGACATCTTGACCCGTTGTGGATCGATCGAGATCTATATGCGAACGACGAAGGCTAATCGGCCATTGGTTAACGGCGACTTCTCAACGTAGTTGAGTCGATGGCTTCTAAGCGAAGAATGGGACGAATTCTGCGCGACGAGTACACATATTGCGCTTCTGCGGCTCATGCGCGCACACGTAACAAATAGGAATATATACAGGCAAGGCAAAACGGTTATGTACAGGGTATTTTCATTAAAGGAAAAACGAAAGGATATTTTATTCTAGTTTGGGGACGCAACAAACTCTAATAAATACACATGTGATCGATCAAGTTCAATTTTTCTGGCCAAGTTATTGGACTTAGAACATCGGTGTGGTTCATTAAAATAAATACAAAATGCAAACGTGATCACGTGTATTGACATTGGCTAAATTTGATACTTATCTAAAATTTATCTTCACCACATAATAAATTAATGGTAAATTTTCCTGTTCAAAATATACACATACCGCTCAATGCTAAACAAACCTTTAACCCAACTAAAGGAATGGTTTCACTAAAATTAAATGCAATATTTTCCCCATCAATGAAGCAAAATAACCAAAATCCTTTGTTTGGATTTAATTGTTATCAATAAAAACAATACAAAATCTATTTCATGGAAGTGGTAATGATTAATCGATTCCTATAGGAATATTAAAATTACTTCAAACAAAATTAATATGCAAATTCCTAAAATTAATCGATTCTCTATCAAAAGCACATAATAAAATCGTTCCAGCTAAAGCTGTCGCGATTTTATCGCACTTTTGATCTCTAGTTTTTTCCGCTGCGACAAAACTTTCCTGTAAAAATAAAATTATTCGATTAAAAATCAAGCTGTTGTGTATTTACCCCCTGTTGCTAACGTTGCTAACCATTAATGAGCTTTATTGCTACACCCGTAACTAAGGAGCACGCTAAGGAGTAATTCATGTTGTTATAAAGAGGTCGACGAAAAACACATTTATTTGATTGATTATCTTTTAAAAAAAGCATCAGCTTAAACGTAAATTCTTTACCTCACCTTTGCTCCCCATATGCGAAAATATTTATGTTTATTTTCAAATTTTTAAACAATGAGAAACTTGGGCAATACTGGAGCCTGTATTGGTGAACAAAGAAGTTTTACGATACAAATAGTAATGTTCTAATTTTACATCCCACGTGTAGGTACCTATCTATTTACCAGAGTCTTAATAAACAGTAAAGCAATGAAGGTTAATCTATTATGTCTGAAACTCCTTTAACGTAACCAAGGAGATGATAATCGTTCAAACTAAACTATTGACAGTTGTGAGCAGTATTGTAATAGTAAATTGCACCGGTAAATTTCGAAGTGAACATAAAACTAATTGAGTAGAACATGAAAGGTGTTAAATAGTATATTAAGACACAAGTGTATAATCAAGTTTTTAAAGCACGCGCAACGAGTTTAAGGGCACGACGCAAAGCGTAGTGCCTTTAACGTTGCAAGTACTTTAAAGACCAAGTATACACGTGTATCTTATAGTATTTTTTTGCGCGATCGGTCATTTCTGACTATTTACCATGGGTGTTTCCATGACAGTACGTAGAATTTACCAGTTGCTATGATTACGACGACGCCAAAATTACTTACCGATCTAAAAACAGAACAGCAAAAATACTTACCGACGCCTTTTTAAAAATCAACAGTCTTACATTACATTTAATCTTTAATTATTGTTAGGTACATTAAACGTACAATTTGTGCTGTTGTTTCCTATAGCAAGACGCTCATAAAGTCATAAAGGAAGTGCAAAGCTAGTAAACTACATCAGACACATGCACATTTTTATGAAATTATTAACTTCAATTTTGACAAATAAACTGGTTACCTAGTGATGTACACCATACCACTTCGATCATTTCGATTTATTCTGCTCGTTAACTTCTTAGTGCATATTTATATTGGTTGCATAATTTTAATTTCGATCGCGCAAAAAATTTTATAAGCACGTCGAACGTTAAGGGTTACCGTTCTCAGACAATAATTGGAGTCGTCGCTTCGCTCCTCCTCCAAACAATTGTCTTCGAACGGTAAAAATCCCTTACCGTTCTCCATACTTAATATACTATTTATTATACCTGCAGTATAATTTAAAAATAGGAAATACAATGAAATCATATTGACGTTGTACTCGAATACATATCTAATTAAGTGGGCGGATGTTCGTAATTTCACGATTGCCATGGAAATGTCACTTGACTTTGCTCATAAAAATCATCGTCTTTGTGAATTTCCGTTGAAAAAGATAATACACCGTCCATTAAATCGATTGTTGTAAAATCTAAACAAACGTTGGTAGGTGTAAAATCCAAATCCAGTAAAGCCTATTATAAAGAATATGAAAAGTTGTTTCCATGGATGGAATAGGAAGTTAACTCACCAGTAGCAAGGGATCACTCCCTCCGCGCGTACCACCAGGTATGATGTGGAAGGCAAAAACCCTCGATTGAGGTACCTACAAAACCACACGGGCTGGCATTGTCCCAATAATCACTTCAGAGGAACATTCCCCCACCGAGGTGCTTCACTCAATCTCTTGCAATTGTATAGAATGCAGGGCGACTGCCACATTCCAAAACACAGTAGATACGTATGTGTTATTTTTTAACTTTGGAGTAAACTATTGAAAACTTTGGCCACATGCATATCTAATATGTTAGGACCCTTATATTCCGTGAAAATGGGAAATGTGCCTATAGTGGGTAGAATTTAGAAAAATGCTAACTTTGGGAATTTTCTCCGTAGTTGTCGAAAAGCAGGACTTAAATGTCCGACAATCTGCGGGAATTGTAAATCCCAGACGACCCCCAACGCTCCATTTGAGGAAGAATAGCCCAGGCATTTTAGATCAGAAATGGGGTCAACCCTACGAAAAATAACGTAAATCTGAAAGTTGGCACAGTTGTTCTATTTGATGCCCTGAACAACATATAAAAAGTCCCAAGAATTCCCATGTCGGCTTCCTTGAAGTTCGGGCTTTCGAAAGTCCGAACTCTTGAAATCTGCACGACGCCACTATAATTATAGCCTAGCGGACGAACGGAACAAGTCCCAGAGTCGCGGGAGGGCTTAAATTAAAGGTTAGTAACCAGGCTATCTTTTGATATTTTTTGCAAGTGCCAGTGACAACTTCCGGCCAGACAGGAAGTGGAAAAAGACCGCGAAACTTGACAAAAAAATCGGTTTTTGTTTTTTGTTTGGACATAGGTGCGATTTAGCGTCCGATATCGGAAAAATGACCAAAACAAATGTTGTAGAGCGTAGTTTTAACTTTAAAACCGTACCCTTTGCGTTGAAATCCGACCAATAGGAGGGGAGCTACAAACCGTTAAGTGCGATCCCACGCGCCGCTCGCCGTTGCGCGACTTGCCTGAGAGGTGCACCAGATCGACCAGATACGGTTGGCTTAATAGCGGCGCATCTCTGACTTATTTGTATTTTGACTGTGAGCGTTTTAGACTTTTGGAATGTGTTTAGTGCGTAAATTTTGAGGGAAACTGTACTGTATTTTTTTCTAAACAAAACAATCCAAATTAAAAATTTTTGAGTAAACTTCGTCGTAAAACAAAGGGGGTTCGGGAACATTATTATATATAACATTATAACATTATTACAGCTCCTGCCTCTACAATGCGCGCACATTAAAGTGCAGTGTAGGTTGGCAGAGCGGCACGAACAGCGGTTAAAACAACCTTGCTGGCAAGCGCAAGAAATCAAATGTAGATGTTCGTCTGGTGCTGGTGGCAGACTTGTCGGATTTGGAACAAGTGTGGGTCCCATTTTTTTCCAGCCCCAATCCGTTGGCAAGAGACTGTTCGATGGCTATTCGTGAACCTAAAGTAAGGAAAATAAGAAATAGAATTAACTAAATCTT